CCGCCCGCCTCATTCCAGCACAGGCGCTGGGGTTCCCCGCCGTTCCCGCCCGCTCCGGCCCCCCCGCCAGCCCTCCAGCCCTCCCTCCCCGGCAGCGCCGACGCCTCCTTGCCCAAAGAGGGGAAAAGCAGACCGACCCAGTAGCCACACCACCCTTCATAAATACTAATTTTCAAAGCGAAAGAGGAATAAAACATACCGGCAACAGAACTGCTCTCAGCGCTGTTCCTTCTTGTGTGATGCTCCTCACGTAGTTGGGTTTCCTCTTCCTTTCCTTTCCTTTTTCTCTTTCTTTTACTTTTATTTTTTTTTCTCCCCTCCATCTCCAAAGCGAGGTGGGGAAACGACCAGATCTGATGCTTTCTCTCTTTTGTGCTGGCCGCTGGAGATGAGCCTAGGCTTGACCTGACCATGATTCCAAGGACTGGCACTTCTTTTTTACCCCCAGTTTGTAGAGATCCAGACCTTCTCTTCCTGATTGTCAAGAAAATTAAATTACTGCTGAATTTGGGAATCTAGGCAGCACCAGCTTACTTTTTCTCTGCATCTCTCTGGAATTGTTTCTGGGATATTTTCCAAATCATCACAGAAAGCAGGAGGAATGAACCGGCAGCTAGTGAAAATTTTGACAACCTTGTTTGCATTTTTCTTAGAGACAAACCACTTCAGGTAGGTGATACGACTCTATGTGATGATATTTGTTAAAAGACTGTGGAAATCATGACTATAAATATAGTACGTCACATTAACCTAGTTTGTTTGCTATATATGAGAGTATTTAATGTTCATTCTATATAGGCTACCCCTTTTACACTTGGAGACTCGTTGCTTGGTAACAAACACAAAAAATAATAATCTCAAGTTTGGGTGATCTATTTTACATTTCCCTGACTCAAAGACATGTTTTTTCACTAAGTATCAATATAGCTAAAAACATTTTCTTCAGTTTTTCTTCCATAATGCAATTTTTCTACTCCTACCGGAGGCTGTTTAGGAAGTTGCCTTGGTTCCCTCCTCTTCAAGCATTGGAAATGATTGAACCATTTTTATCAGGGATGTAGTTATTTGAAATTAGAGGACCAACCCTCTGAATCTGAGAAAACCCTGGATTAGACCAATATTGTGCTCACTTAAAGTACCAGTACATATGATTGTTTCTTTTCTATCTTTTATTAACAATTCATGAGCTTTTGCTTCAGCTATTGACTTTTTGTTGTACAAAGCAAACAGAGCATTCTTATTAATCAAAGCACCATTTTAACTGAGATTCATTATTATAGTATATGCTGCTGTGTATCTACATGCACACATATAAAGTGTTTTTTATATGAGTAATGAGGTATATATACAGTGACAGAGTGAAATAGTGTTCATATCTGTGAGTCTGGGATCACAACGCAACTCATAACTAGTGGGGTCTGAATGAAAACAGAAATAATTTGTATAGGAACATTCCAAATAAGTGCACTGGATTGATTTTCCAGTTTTTATTATCTTACCTAATTATTTTTTTTTGTATGTAAGTGGAGAATATAATCTATTATCTATTAAAAACTAAAGATATTTTGTAATGGTACCATGTCATTGACAAAAGCATAAAAGATGAAACCGTCCCCTGTACATGGAACCTTAAAAAATGTGGGGAATCACACCACGAGTATTTACTATCATCACCCTATACTTTAAAAATTCTGGTGCTTTTGTAAAGGGATGAAAGATTTGATATTTGATTCTTATTTCAGATGCTCAGGTGCATATCTGATTTGTTTATACTTGCATATAGATGGACGAATAAAACCCCACAAAACACTCCTGAAACTGAATGGTTCCAGGTGGGCAAATACATAAACAGAGAGTGGGTAAGATGACATAGCCATAGAATTACCTTTAATATAGTTCAAAGATTATGTTGAAGCATAGATGCAATGAAATTGGTTATTTAAGAATCGAGACAATGCTTTATGGTTAAATATGTGCCTCTACACACCAAATATGACCATTTCATTCTAGTTTCTTTTTCCTTAGAGAATAACCATGGGAAACTCCTAAATTCTCCTTCTCTGCAATATATAATGTGCTTGCAGTATGTAGTATGCTACGTGCACAGTGTTTTGTGTGCATGATGTGGTACCAGAAGTTTGCCCTTAAATCCTGAAAGCAGAGATGTGTTCCAAGAACTTGCATATACATACCAGCTGGTGATAATACAGATCAATTTTATTACTCGATGATCATAGGTTAAAAATCCCTAAGATCAGATGTGATTGACTCTGGAACCCCTTTTGCCGTGTTGGGGAAGAATCCAGACATTCACTTGCATGATTAAAATCTTTGTTTGGCATATGTAAAAACAATTTTTTTTACAACTATCTCCTTCCCAACATTAACAAAACCATTATTTTTCAGTGTTGCTTGGTGAGTGTTGCCAGCTATTGTTTGGAAGTTTAAGACTACCTTAAACCAGTGTTAACATACAGTTTTAACAGCATACTTGTAATTAAAGCATTGATATCAAATAGGATATCAAAGTCCCAGTAAGATTACTTTACATGTAAGATGAAGAGTCAATTGAATCTTCTAAAGTCTTAAAGCTGTAATGAATTTCTTTTTAAAGCTGAGGTTTTTTTCTGAAGAGCAAATTGAGTCCATGCATACTACCTTAAGGTAATTTCTATTTCTAGAATAAAGTTTTCAGATGAAAAATAAATTGTTCTATAAAATTATAAAATTGTTCTATGTGTTGTTCTATAAAATTTTAATTGCCACATTCACTGAATTGAGACAATTTTATTTAGCATTATAATTTCTCTATAACTTGAATACAAAATAAGCTAAATATTAGCTAATGGTGGCTAATAATTTATTTAGGACGACTTTCTGTAAAGAACATGATTCAAGATCTGGAAAATCCCCCTCACAGACCCTGTCTCCTTCAGATTTTTTGGACAAATTGATGGGAAGGACATCGGGATATGATGCTAGAATCAGACCAAATTTTAAAGGTAAGGTTTTTTAGAACTTCTTATTTACTTGTCTATTATGTTGTGGACAAATTATAGGTTTGAGGGTTTTACCTCTGGGTTCTGATTCTTTTTTCAATAACTAATTTTCCAGTGTGATAGTGTCATGGAGATCAGTTGATCCATGGGAAGACTAGGACTGCAGTGTAGGTAGTAAAGGTCCGCAGCTTGAAACCCCCTTTTCACATGACAGTAATGTTTGGCTGTCAGAGTTCGCTTTTGAAGACCTTACTAACTCCACATCATAAATAGGATTCCAAGTTCCACACTAGAAAGAATTGAGATTACTTGTTCCTGCAATTTTTAAGCCATGAAGATAGTATCTTTAACAGTTCTGTGCTGAGTCTTCCTTATAGCAGTGTCTGAAGAAAAGGTCTATGTTTTCGTTCAACTTGAAGACAGTAAAACCTTCTTCCCCGAAGTAGGGTAATAGGACTTAAGGTATGCACACAGAAGATTCTGGCCTGTAAATGCTGACTGAATGACAAGAACCAATTTCTCAGACTTCCTACAAAATTCAAAAAACATATTCTGTTTGTCACTTCCATGACTCCCCACTTTTCTTCCAAAATTTGGACTTAGGTGTGGAGAGTCACCACCACCATTCCAGCAGAAAGGTGGCTGTGAACTGGAGGTTTCTTTTGCAACTGTGACTATTCCCAGCAAGTTTTCCTTGCTGTAGTCCTGTAAATCCCTATGGAAGTGAGCACAGAATGTCTTGTGACTTTGAATGAAAGGAGTTGAGAAAGAAGTTTTAATTGCAAATATTTAGCATTTCTGGAGAGCTGTGTAGTTCCACCAAAACTGTCTCTTCTATGCCAATATAATGTTCAGAATGTGGTTCTACTTTGAAAACTGATAAAATGCTTCCTTAACAAATCTGATGCCAATGTATTTTTTGCACTCATATCTATCGGCTTTGGTCGCAAACATGCATGCTTCCCTGTACTGAGCCTCGTTAGCAGTGCTGTGAAATTGATAGCGGCTGAGAAAAACAATCATTTCTTAGCCAGTGAATGAACTGTTAGGAAAGAAGCAGCTTGCATGTCAATGAGAAAAGTGCTTAAATTTAGATCAAAGATAAGTTTCGTCTCTTTGTTCCACATGTGCAAATTACAAGATTTGGAACAAAGTGCCTTTTTTGACTCCTTCCTGTGCCAGAGTGTGGAGGAACCTAGTATGGCTTTCAGATCTAAAGGTTTGAAAGCTGACAAGTAAAAAAAAAAGGCTCTAGTCAGGGAAGTCTTAAGTTTTAATTTCAGAATAGTTTTCAAAGTGTTTATTGAGTTCCTGAACTGGAGTGCCTATTACCTTGTCACAAGCAATACTGCATTAGGCTCTCACATTCATTTTGTGTGTTTGCATGAGTATCAGTGAAGTTTTATAAAATGCAAATGAAGTCAGGAATTGCCCAAACTGAGCAAGGTAGCAATCATTAATATCTTATTCCTGCCCTTAATATGGCAGGGACAGTAAAATAAGACTTCTGCTTCATCTCTTGTAGCTCAGATAAAAGCAGAGATAGTAGCAGTCCCTGTACATAGGAAAACCTAAAGACAGTTCTTTACTGCTGGCCAGTACACATCTAAAAGCACTTTGTGAAAAACACAGGAGGAGGCAGATTCACAGCTTTGCTCCCCCAAAGTTCAAGCAGGTAGAGGAGGTATGGTGTGCATGCAGTTGCTTGGTGCATGCTGAGCTGTTTGACAGACACTGCTCTCACCCGTGCCCAATGGTTTTTTTGTGTTCCCAAAGTGAAGCTGTTGCCTGATGACACCTATGGACCCTTAATGGCAAAAAAATTCTGTCACTTCTTATTTATAATTTTTCTTTTTTATTAAGTCACTTTCCAGAGCAAGGTGGTACACTGCAGCAGCTTGAAATGGTAAACAGATCTTCAGCATTTTTTCGTAACTTCAGATCTCTGAGCTCTTCCAGAGCTCTCAGTCTTCTGGTGAGGAGTCTGAAAGGTTTTCTTGTTCTTTGCTATGTTTGCTTGAAGGGCATTTTGTATCTCAGAGTTCAGAACTAGAGAGTTAAGTTATACAGTTTTGAACTTCACATCACCAGTTAAAACCTTGTCAACTAATAATCATTTTTATTAGTCAGTACAATGCATACTCATGTTCTAGTTGCCCCAGTCTTGTTAAATTTAAAAAAAATTTATAAACCTATAATTCTATATTCCATATTTTTTCCTTTTAAAGAAGTACAGCTTCAAAGGGTCAAAATAAATTTATCTTGCATGGAGTTAAGTATTATAGTGATATTTTTTGTACTGAGTCTTTATTGGGGCCATGATACAACAGGTTTCATTTCCTAACATTAATTAATCTGTTTGAGATCTTTTTTAGGATATGGGCTATTGTACAATACTGTTGTATACTGTTCATACTGGATGTATGAAATGTTGCATGATTACCCAATTTATAACACTTTTTGTATCTTAAGGCAAGAACTTTTAAATATAAGTCTGCAGGAACAGTGGTTTAAACCAGGGATCTACTATCTGGCTTTGCATGATCTGAGGTTAATATTTGTTTCCAGTGTTTCACAAAAGATGTTGTGGACCAAGATAGCTGAGACTCTACTCCTGTATTTGTCTAGCTTTTTCTGTTTTAGACCAGTTACATAGCTTTCTCTGACTCCACCATAAGCATTTTAAAGAATCAGAAAAGTCTTGTTTCATGGAAAGGCAACTGAGTAGAACCCATTTATCTTTTACCACTGATTATATAATAATTAAAAATATTTTCATGACTAGTCTGAATTCCTGGGAAAAAAGTGGCTATTTGACTTATTTGTGGAATAAAGGCCATACATTCTAAACAGAAAGGAAAACACTACTTACTGGAACAAGGTGTTTTGTCCAGATAAAGCATTTCATCATTAGTTACTGCTGTTCTCTAACTTAGTCTTCTGAATTAGAAAATTCAAAAAGATACTGAGATAATGGGAGAGAAACAGGTGAATACATAAATGTTTAGACACCAACAACAAGCTTTTGGGGTTTTGTTTTGTTGTTTTGTTTTGGTTTTTTTTACAGAATTGGTGTATACTGAAAGATATTTTTTTGTGGTACCTTTCTGTCTTATACAATCATTTGAAAGCAGAGAAGCAGATTTCTTGTTCTTCTTTACACATCAAGTGGTTGTATACAAAATGACCAGGCACTGGGCAGGACTGTCCCCATGATGAACAGCCAGAGAGAAGTGCCAGTGCCAGCTCTCAAAATTTCTTCTCTTTCTCACTGTTTGTCAGATATTTAATGCACACTTTTTCATCTTATACTTAGCTTTTATTGAATTTGATAGACTAATAATTTGTATAAGGGCACAGAAGGGAATACTTTTAAATATAAATATGAAGACTGCAATCTAATACTAATTGAAGTCCCTGAGAGTCTTTCTGTTGACAGCAAACATATGCTTGTGGTCCTATGAGTTGATTTGCTGTTTCTTCTTCAATTATAACATCAGTTGAGCATGATTTCTGTAAAATAATAAAAAGTGAAACCTGTATGATGTACTTTTTACCTGATTAATATTAGTTATATATTTAGTGGTAAAATACAACAACAACAACAAAAATAAAAGTGATGTCTTGTACTTTCTTCACTGTTCACTTAGCTTTCCTCAACAAAACCAGAAATAGCAGTGTAGGGCGCTTGTGTTATAAAACTAGCCAAGAATGTGCTTTCTTGCTAGTAGAAACCAGGGATGGTAGAGTGGTATCTTAGATTAGTGTATATTCAGCTCAGGCTCCCACGAGAGCACTGTGTGCAATGCCATGATACAGGGGATCAGTCTACAGCTTAATCACAACATAAGACAAGGGGCTAATAGAAAGTCAGCTTGAATTTAGAATTTCCTAGCAGGTGTTGACCTTCAGAGGTTATTAAATTATTTCCACTTTTTAACACCTTTATCTTCTTAAGCCAATGAAAATCTAAACATAAGCTGGAAATGTTCAGATAGAGAAAACTGTTTATCTATAGGCACTACTATGTCCTTTATGCCAGTACTTTAAATAGTAGACTGTCTGTCATGCACTGGGTGGAGAGAAGGGGAGTTTGTCACCAAGAGCTCCAGAATTGTGTTATCTTTTAGTATGGAAAACATTTGCAATGAAGATTATAGTGATTTTCTTTTGTATTGAATGTTATTCTATGTTTTAAGTGCATTCTTTCCCATTAAGTCATTATCTGCCAAAGAATGTTCTGATTTTTATGGAGCTACATGAAGGCATGCATCAACAGTGTCCATTAATGTTACCCTCATCATTGGATGGTGCAGTGCAGTGTGAATTACCTTGCACAAAAGCTGCTGTTTCTGAGCTCAGAGAAGTCTTGTTAGAGGGATGCAGTTTGGGGGATGCAGTTGTAAAAGATTAGTCTGCGATTACAGTGGCGTAATGTCATTTCCATGCCAAGTCAGTGGGTTTATATCTGAATAATAAACAAATGGGCTAAGTAATTTACTGAAAATTAGCTTGACAACTGTTACAGGAAACGGCTTATGCACTTTAATACTTTAACTCCTTGGCATCAAGGGTCAGTTTTTCCGATACGTTCAAGACCATTGCTTACTTATTTGGCCCCTGAGTTGACCAGTAATGGAATGCTTTAAAAACCATGAATGGAAACTGTTGAATGACATTTGAGGGTGAAATTAATGGCATCAGGCTTAATAAATAAAAGCAGCTTCTATGTACAAGCTAAGAAGAGGCACTGACTACAGAAATCAACCTTTATCTAGACATAACACTTCACAATAAATACCTGTTGGAAAAACAACCTGTAAATACATCTAAAAGTTGAAAAGCATACCTAAGACAGGCTGTGAGGTTGCAGAGGTTTATTCTCCAGTGGTTAACAACCTTCCCAAAGCCAGATCTCAGTGGCTAACAACTACTCGTCATGAGCTTAGATGCAGTGGGCATTGTGCACTGGACTGTTTTCCACACAGTTTGAGGCTTGAAAG